GATGAGGGCGGGCGGGTGCCCTGTGCAGTTCTTCACCAGGGCTCTCTCTCCCCACGACAGAATACCCGCCTACACACAGCATTGTTGGAAATAAAATGCCTGGGGGTAAAATGCCTGCTGCGACTGTCCTCATTACCCCCAGGATTTTCATTTTTACCCCATTTGGGGTCATTTACCCTGTTCCCTGACCACTGCTCAAGAGCCTCCTCCAGCACCACAATTCAAAGGCATCAGTTCTTCGGCGGTCTGCTTTCTTTATGGGCCAGCTCTCACTTCCATACATCACTACAGGAAAAACCATAGCTTTGACTATGTGGACTTTTGTTGGCTAGGTGATGTCTCTGCTTTTTAAGATGCTGTCAAGGTTTGTCATCGCTTTGTTCCCTGACCACTGCTCAAGAGCCTCCTCCAGCACCACAATTCAAAGGCATCAGTTCTTCGGCGGTCTGCTTTCTTTATGGGCCAGCTCTCACTTCCATACATCACTACAGGAAAAACCATAGCTTTGACTATGTGGACTTTTGTTGGCTAGGTGATGTCTCTGCTTTTTAAGATGCTGTCAAGGTTTGTCATCGCTTTCCTCCCAAGAAGCAGGCGTCTTTTAATTTTGGGGCTGCTGTCTCCATCTGCAGTGATCATGGAGCCCAAGAAAGTAGAATCTGTCACTGCCTCCATATCTCCCCCTTCTATTTCCCAGGAGGTGATGGGACCAGTGGCCATGACCTTAGTTTTGATGTTGAGTTTCAGGCTGTTTTTTGCACTCTCCTCTTTCACCCTCATTACAAGGTTCTTTAATTCCTCCTCACTTTCTGCCATCAGAGTGGTATCATCTGCATATCGGAGGTTGTTATTTCTTCCGGCAATCTTAATTCCGGTTTGGGATTCCTCCACTCCAGCCTTCTGCATGATGTATTCTGCATATAAATTAAATAAGCCGGGGGACAATATACAGCCTTGTCGTACTCCTTTCCCAATTTTGAACCAATGGTTATGCTAATACAGTATTATTAAGCACCCCTAGGGGAAGAAAATCACCCAGATACCCATGTTCCCCTGAGTTCCTTTGTCCTTTGCTTGTTCAGCCTTGCAAAGGCTCTGGTCATTTGGCTCAGTGCACTTTAATCTTCAATTTATGTGGCAGCAAATTTTAAAAATCAACCATAGGGGTAGTGACACAGAAGTTAACAAAAGGCACACACTAAGACACAGTACATATTTTATTTTAAAAAAGCATAGAAACTAATGACATGCTTCAGAAAATTAGATTTTATATGTACACTTGCTTTTCTTTTTAAGCCGCTGCTGCAGGAAACCAATGCTGTAATCCTATGCTTATTTATTTAGGAGTAAATCCCAAGGAAATCACTGAGACTTAATTCCAAATAAAAAGGCACAGGTGGGACCTGCAGCGAAACATTACCTTGTGGACTGGGCCCTTGGCAAGGTCTCTGCCATTCCATTCCATAGCCACGCCTCCCAGCTTTCAATCCCTCTCCCACACTGCCAGTATTCTGTACTCGCCTAAAATGCCCAATACTCAATGGGTTGCTTTAGATTCATCCTCACTCCCACTTAGTTTTTTAAGTGTTTCTGAAATTTTGCCAACTTCAGGGCTTCTCCAAGTTTGCTTTCTGTTGTGCATGGATAGTGTTGTTTTGGCTACGTGAAGACTGGCATTTGGAGAACTGACTTTTCCCTATTAGTATATAAACATAGTATGACCAAGCCAGTTATTAAGTCTTAATAACTGCATCCTATGAGATGACAGATAAAATGCAATTTAGAATGGTTTGTTAAGAATTACATTCTCTCACCAGTCTCCTTTGCCCCATTTAAATAAGAGCCCTAGTGTTCAATGAATTTCAGTCTGTTCCCATGTTGAATTATAGCACAGGCCAGTGGTTTGCAATCTTGGGTAACCCAGATGTTCTTGGACTGCAACTCATAGAAACCCCAGCCAGCACAACTAGTGCTGAAAGCTTCTGGGAATTGCATTCTAAAAACACTTGGGCACCCCAAGATTGGAAACCACTGGCATAGGCTATGGAAAGGGCTTTAATGGAATCAGGTGGGGGTCTGTAAAAGCTACAGATTCAAGCAACTAAAAATGTATTTTAAATCTACACTTAGAAATGTGGGCCTTTCTCACAAGACATCACGGGATAGTTGTTTTGAATGTTACTGCTTGACCCCAAATCTGTTACTCCATTCTAGAATAATACAAATGCAGGAACAGGTGATACTTAACCATTAAGAAAAATGAATTTTTGTTTAGTTTTTTGTTTTTGTTTAAATTGACATTCTTCATGCATCAAATAAAGGTATCACCTGTTGCTGCATTTGTATTGTTTCGACAACCATGTGGCCTTTTCCTAATGTTTCACTCTAGAATGTCAGGTATGAAGTTCTTTGCTCTTACTGTACCAAATCAGTTTACTTATAATGATTAATACCATTAGTATTACCGCCAGGTTTACTGACCTCTGTCAGGATTTTTAAACATTGCTGAGCACCATATCAGTTCTTTTTGCAGTATAGTACTGTGACAGTGAGATGCTCATATGCACATCAAATATCATTGGTGGTGAAGGTGCAAAACTGATGTTTTGCAAAACAAAACAAACCCCTTTTGTAGATTGTGCTATTTCATTATAAATGGGTTAATATTTCTGATACTGTACTGCTTCTCCTCTTATTTTTACTACAGTTTAATACAAATTAACCATTGTTTAATTCATACAATTATCCCACTTAAAATATGTTAATTGGCTATTCCTTAATTTCTCATGAGATATTTATGAGTGGTCCTCAGAATACTGTGTTGATTTGGGTGGAAGCAGGGCAGAATAGTGTGCTCATATGTTGCAGAAACCCATGTACGTGCACACACATTGTGCCTCTCACTCCCAGGGCCACTGCCAGACACCTGAGGGAAAGAAAAGTTACTGTTCTCACCTTTCCCTGTTCAGGAGGCAACCCACATGGGTATATGAATACTCCCTCAACAACCAGAGCCTGGAAACACTAGTATTAATACTAAACATGTTAATGTTAATGAAAAAGTAATTATTTAAATAAATTATTTTTAAATTTTAAAAAATCATTTAAACTTATCTCAACCCCCATTATTCCCCAAAGTAATGACTTAAAAATAACACAAGTCAATATTCAGAATTTAATGTTGCTTGCATTTAGTACTTTCAATGAGGACGGGCAAAGTAGGGTCGTCCAGATACTTTTGCCCTGCAAGTTTTATCAGTTCCAGCCAGAATAGTTAATGATGAAGAATGCCAGTAGTATCTGAAGTGTGGCACTGTGCCCATCTGTGGCTTAAAATAACCAATTTTAAATTTGTCACTCAAAGCTTTAGTGAATTAAAAGCAACAATTTAATTTTAAATGAATTATGTTTAAGCTTTGCTCCACCTGGGCACTGGTACAACATCCTCCACTTCCCTGTGGATAGTATGTTAGCTTAGGGGCACAAGGCTGACATCCAGGACAGCAACATACAAGCTTTACCACTGCTGGGTTGGTAGAATGGAAACAACGGAGGGCCTGAGACGGAAATAGCAGAGGGCTGATGTTCCATCCCTGCTGCATCATGGTAGGTTTTACTCTACATCATTCCCATCCCATGATGTCCCTCTTTAGGGACAATCTTTGAAAATGGGAGGAACATGGACTACTATTGTTCATTTCCTTTTTGTTCTTGGCCAGGCCCTATTCACAAAGAGAACAGCAGATAGATGGGGATCTAATTTTTGCAACAAAAGGTGTTTGTAAAAGAAGTTGAACTCTCTGCTACTTCTGATTCTCCAGCATTTCAGACACAGCTCAGCTCAGTTTTATTAGAGCTAAACTGGAGAGAATTACCACTGAAGTAAAGGAGTGTGCCAAGGTGAGAAATAATACCATCTGGATCCCTTCATACACATACATCCTTGACTGCAAAAACTGGTCATATGCCAACCCATTTGATATGACAATAGGGAAGACAAATATGGCTGCCCCATCATATCTTACCTTGCCTGTGGTGCTTGTCAAGCCACCAAGCACTACAACAAGAGCACTCTTTCTTGAAAACATGAAAGAAAGTGAATTTAGACGTGTTTGCAGGACAGGCTAAATCTGTTCTGCCCTCTGACACAAAGGGAACTGTAAAGCAGGTTTTATTCTCTCCAAATGTGGTGCAACCCATTTACTTTATCTCATAAAACATATGAGTAATTGAAAACAAGATACAGATGCAGCCCTACTCTAGATCCTGTTTCTTAGCTATGTTGAGTGGGGTTGCTACAATACTTGACTAGATAACGTCCAGATGTTTTGAACTACAAATGGCAGCAATCTGTCATTGGTCAGTGATAACGGGAGTTGTAGTCCAAAACATATATAGAAGCACCACATTGGGAAAGACTGAATGGATTTAATGAACCATTTACTTTGCTATATTATTTAGACATGGGAAGGATTCCTCCAATCTTTAAACATTCTGACCAAAGATATCTTCTCTAAACATCCTATTATGTGAAGAAAAGAAGGTAAGACCTAATAAAGTGTAAGCTAATTGATAGGAGGGGCTTTGTCAGCATCCATTTCAAGGACTTGTTTGGTGATCTGAGCTCTCAAGATTCTAGATAATCTGGTTCTATGAACTGACGGTGAGAACTGAAAGAAGCAACAAAGAAAACATGACTAATTATACAAACAGGCTGTGTTAAGTATAAGCCTTAGCTACGTGCTGTTTTGGACCTCAAATTTGGCATAGGTCTGTCAGGGATATGGTGGGGGGGATGTTCAGGGTTAATACCCCTATATAAACACACTATTAGTGGTATTCCGTTAGGGTCTTCTGGGGTTTTGTTTTGTAGACAGCCTTTATGGGATCTGAAGCCCAGAAAGAAACAATAGTTGTGATCCAACCAAACATTTTAACTTCCAAAGATTTTAACATTTGTTATATTGGGGTATAGACTCTATGACCCTTTAGCTGCCGATGGACTACAACTCCAACCATCACCAGCTACCTTTTGCCATGCTGTGTAGGAGTGGTAGGAGTTAGAAACCCAACAGCTGAGAGCCACAGGCTTTCCACCCCTGTGCTAAATTCACACTTGGAAATAAATGAGATTTAAAAATATTTAGCTTTAGTTGCATCACATCCATTGTGATTCTATGTGGTATCTAAATTGAAAATCCCTGCATCAGGGAAATCTGCTACTGAGAGGGGAAGAATTTTAGTTTGCTAAAGATCCAGGTAGTCACAAGAAGTATAATTTAGGAGCTGCAGTGAAAACACCAAAAGTCTGGTAGAACTCTACATTTTTATCTTCTTCCTCTTCCAAGGACATATTCTTCTTCAGTTATGATTAATCACATTGTCAGACAAGCCTAACAAGAGCTTAGAATGGCCCATTTCTGTCTGGAACGTTGCCAAAACTGAAAAAGAAGAAGTTATGTTCCAGTGCATCTAAACTTCTGTGTCAAGCCAGAGGACCTTTTAATTAGACATGCCAGTGATCCTCAAACTTTTGTGACTAAAAATACTTCTTTACTGTACATTAAAAGCATCTAATTGGCATCTATTTTTCCTTTTGACTTCCACTGAGTAGTTTCTTTCTTGCCACTAATATTTATTAGTATAAAGGTGTTGAGGTGGGGGAAATAAAAGGATAATCTGATCTTAAAGTGCTGCTTCTAGCTTTCCTTGTATGAGTATGCCTTTTGTATAATTTATTGAGTATTGCACAGCTCCATCCTATACATATCTACTCAGATATAAGCCCCATTAAATTTCAGGGGGACTGAGTCCCAGGTAAGTGAGTATAGGATTACAGTCTTAGTATTCACGCTATTCCTCTTAACCTGTTTGAAGCTTGTTTGCGCCCATGTGCATGTGCACTCCCAAGTTTTGCTCATAATCAATTTTACATCAAATACAAAGCAAAAAAGAGGCAAGAAAGGTGCCTCCAGTGACGAAGGATGAAAGGGGTTAACACTGTGTTGCTTAGTTGCTGGGTAGGCCTTGAGGAGTGCTTATATCTGGTAACCAAATATTATTCTGAGAAAAAGTGCAATGTTTCTTCATTTTACAGGAGCAGCCATACAGATCCCAGTTTGATAATCACTGAGGTAGACAAAAAGTGTAGGCATACTGCTAAATGAAGCTGTTTTCTCACATCCTGAAAGATAGTACCAATGGATCTGAATACCAGGCAGCTTGGTCTTTCCCCATATGCGCTGGTCTCAAACTTCCATACTCAGAGCTGGGGAGGGGATGCAGGACTAGGAAAAAGAGACTGCTGTTACACCCTCTGATCTCACTGCTTAATGGCGATTCTGTGGACAACAGACATCTACTAGCTGTAAGAGACTGGGGCCGCTCCCACTGGATATCACTGACCATTGTTGGAAGTTGCTCTTAAAAGGCTAAGAGGTGATTAAGAGTTATGGTCATTTTGGGCTGTCAGTCACAGCAGCCCAAACAGCAGTAGGAAGCTACAGATGTAGCCCGCCTTGTACCTACCCATGCTGGTTAAAAGCAGCCTACAGCTGTCTTTGTAAAGCAGTACCATATGATGATAAGCACATCTCACTGGAGGAGAATGAAGAGTCACTTTTCCTTTCAGGCTAACACTGTTTTGCTCCCATCTCCAAATCATAAAGAAGGCTCCTGGCCTCCCCATCAGAGGCATCTGGATGTCTTTCATTTTCAGCATCATTCCCAAGGCACAAGGGGCTCATGATGTAACGATAGTCACTAGTAACAGCAGCAGCTGCTCCTGCAATGTTCACTTCATCGTCCAAGGTTCCAAAGGGACAATTAACTGTAGCGTCATTCCTACAAGCTTCTTGTGGTTTCCCAATGTTAACATAAAGAGGATTCTGGCTGGATGAGAGCAAAGACAGTCTTGCCAATATCATTTCAAGCTGGAATTTCAGTGCTCCAAAGCTGGGACGAAGCTTGGGTTCTGAATGCCAACATCGACACATGAGATCATAGCTGCAAGGCAAAGAGAGTGAAAAGCACTGGGAAAAGGTGCCTTGAAGCAACCACCCACCCATTTGTATGACCACCCATGTGACTTCATAGCCTCATGACGCAGTGGTTAAACTGCTGTACTGCAGCCAAAGCTGCTCACAATCCGGGGCTCAATCCCGCATAGCTGCCCTGAGTAGACATGGTCTAGAGGGGCGGGGTAAAACTCAAATAAATAAATAAATAAATAAATAAATAAATAAATAAGTAAGTAAGTAAGTAAGTAAGTAAGTAAGTAAGTAAGTAAGTAAGTAAGTAAGTAAGTAAGTAAGTTTTAAGTGCTATGGGACGGTATATAAGTAGCAGCACACTTCATACAACACATTGAGACTGTTCTGGTTTTGTGGCTTTGAATGGTGCTCCTGACAGGAGATAGAAGCACCATTCAAAACCACAAGACCAGAACTGCCTTAATGGATGTGGATGTCCACCAAGAGTCTGAGTTGGGACGGCCCACAATATCTTGATAACTTAGTTGTCGTTGTTCAGTCGTTTAGTCGTGTCTGACTCTTCGTGACCCCATGGACCAGAGCACGCCAGGCCCTCCTGTCTTCCACTGCCTCCCGGAGCTGGGCCAAATTCATGTTGGTCACTTCGATGACACTATCCAACCATCTCATCCTCTGTCGTCCCCTTCTCCTCTTGCCCTCACATGGTAACTTAGTAAGAAAATTCAAATGTCATTCTAATAGCATAATGGAGTTAGAAGGGAACAATAAGGTCATAAAATCCAACCCATTGCTCAGTGCAGAAATCCAACTTAAAAGAATATCTGACAGATGGCTTTCTATCTTTCTTTTGAATGCCTCCAGAGTTAGAGCACTCACCACCCACCAAGGTAATTGGTTCCAATTTCCATAATGCTCTAATAGGAATTTTTTCCTGATACCCAACTGAAATGTGGCTTCCGGTAATTTGAACCCATTATTATGTGTTTTGCACTCTAGAATGACTGAGAACAGATTCCGGGACCCCTCTGTATTCCCAGTCATTCCTCATAGGGCTTGTTTTCCAAGCCCCTGATAATTCTTATTGCCCTCCTCTGAACTTGTTCCAGTTTGTCAGCATCCTTCTTGAAGTGCAGTGTCCAGAACTGTACACAGTACTTGAGATGAGGCCTAATCAGTGACAAATAGAAGGGAATAAATACACCATGTGATTTGGAGGCTATACTTCTGTGAATGCAGCCTAAAATAGTATTTGCCTTTTTTTGTAGCCACATCACACTGTTTGATCATATTTAGCTTGTGATCCACAATAATTCCAGTTCATTATTATATAATGCCTCTATATATAAGGATGGGCAATTCTAGTAATCAGGGGGCTATTTTTCTGTCCCTAGACCCTCTGAAGCTGACACAGACCACAAAAAACACCCAAAATGACAAAAAATGAAAATGGAAGTAACTGGAAATGCCAAGGGGGATGGGGACTGCAGATTATTGAAAAGGTGAATTCTGGAAGATTCTAGGAATAACTGTTCATATATTTGGGGAGAAAATCGGTGACCCATTTTCCCACTCCTGCAACAAGCTATATCATGAACCCATTTCCTATCTTTTGCTCTCTTCAGATCCACCTCCTGAGGCAACCAGGCTTGCTGGCTCTCTCTCTCCTTCCCTCTCTATCTGTCTCTTTCTTTCAACTTATATACCACTCCATAGTAGAAACACTCACTGGGCAGCTCACAGTATAATCTTACCAAATGACATAAAAAACATAACAGTACAATATACAAATGAGTATCAAAAACAGTAAAACTATTGTAACTAACTAAACCTATCTTAAATAAACAAACAACTTAGAACATCTCAGATAACAAGCACTAAGTAAAGGTTCCCCTTGACAATTTGTCCAGTCGTGTCTGACTCCAGGCGGCAGTGCTCATCTCCGTTTCCAACCCACAGAGCTAGCGTTTTGTCTGCAGACAATCCTCCGTGGTCACGTGGCCAGCGTGACCAGACACGGAACGCTGTTTACCTTCCCACTGAGGTGGTACCTATTTATCTACTCGCATTTTTGCATTCTGCATGCTTTCGAACCACTAGGTCGGCGGGAGCTGGGACAAGCGACAGGGGCTCATTTTGTCGTGTGGATTCCATCTTACGACTGCAGGTCTTCTGACCTTGCAGCACAGAGGTTTCGGCGGTTTAACCCACAATGCCACCTCGTCTCTGTTTAACAAGCACTAATAAAAAATAAAGCCACCTCATATCTGTTTAACAAGCACTAATAAAAAATAAATAAGCAGCTTTAAAGTTCTGTCCCACATCTGTATTCACAGGTTTACTGGAACTTCTCCCAGACCATTACTAGTTGACAGAATTCCAACTCAGTTTATAGAGCACCATGTGCAAGCAATGCATATTGTCCTAGGATTGTGTCTCCCCGTCCCCAGCAAGATCTAAACGAACTGATGGTAACTCTTCTTCAGTTCTACCATCCTATGCACATACTTAATAATTCATTCTATGGAAGTAAGTTAACATGCACAGGATTGGATAATAAACCATTTTCAACTACCTATAATGCAAAATATACTATTATTTTTCTATTTATCCCTGCGTCCCCCACTTCTCTATAAACCCTGTGTCAGGTCTTACATTAAAAGCTCATTGGACATGGGACTGTGCTGTTGGACTTTGTACTGAAATCTTTTTAAGACTGCTGAAAGTATGGTTGTGCTTTTGTATATCTTCTACTTGTCAAAGTGTGGCCTGTAAAGAAGATAGCATGCCCATGTTTGGGTAACAGGATGGACTAATGAATTACTTACACTTCCTCCAGGCACTCCGGGGGCTGCTTCAATCTGTTCCCACTGATGAGGTAGTTGTAAATTTCTGCATTCTCAATGCCTGCATAAGGAGTTTGCCCACGGGTCACAATTTCCCACATTGTTACGCCAAATGCCCACTGAAACAGAACAGTGACCGGGGTGGGGTGGGGTGGGGGGGAGATAAACAGTTCAGCAATTACTTTGAGTCGAACAAATGACTTCCATATGATGTATTTTTTTCTTTCTAGACCAGGCTTGTCCAACCCGCGGCCTGAAGGCGGCATGCGGCCCAGGTCAGCTCGTAATGCGGCCCAGTGCAATTTTTTATTTTTAAAGAAATTCCAAAGTTTCAAGATACACTGCCAGCGCTTGCAGCCGGAATGTGGCCGAGGCATGTCACAACAGTAGAGGGAGAGAGAGGGAAGGAAGGAAGGAGTGGGAGGGGAGGGGACAGGGGGGCTGCATGACTGCATTGTGCCATCTCTGTCAATAGGTGGACCCCCTCCCGGCCCCATAAAGCCGCCGGAGTCGAAGCTGGCAGCCTCTGCTGTCTGAGATCGCAGCTGCCAGTAAGCGCGCTTGGAGCAGGGCTGCGGAGGACGGCTACAGCTGCCCTCACCCATGCGGCCCAAACCAAATGTATGTGCGGCCCAAACCAAATTTTCATCTTCTAATGTGGCCCAGGGAAGGTGAAAGGTTGGATATCCCTGTTCTAGACTGTGATGGCCTGTGGCTATAAACAGCAACGTTTGTGCAAGTGAAAACAGCGTGAATACTCTGGGCAACTAGGAATTGCGGATGGATGCTGATATAGGGAAGTCTCCATTTAAGACTTTTCCTCTTGTGATAATGGTTGGCTCAGTATAATTTGTCCCCCACACTGCAGCTCTAGGGGAAACAGTTAAATTTCAGAATGGTGGTGGGGTTTCAGGTGTTTGGCTGAACTTAAAATTGCTCAAATCTATAATAGTCATTCCATTACTGGAAACTCTTAAGACAACAGTGCTTACAACCACTTCTGAAGTGGAAGCCCTGTAAACCCAGAGCTTAGAAAATGCCCCAGACTGAATGGGGGATTCCGGGAGCTGTGGTACAAAATAACTTTCCCAAGCTCTCTACATGCCGTAGCAATTGACAGAAAAGACCAGTATGGCTTGGCATGCTGAAACAAGCCTCAGGGCTGCAATTTCCATGAGATGAAATGACATAGTTCACCGTTCGCAATAAAACTGCAACTTCCCATCTCATCTGAATATAGGAAATAGTAATGTAGGGGAACCATAAGTTGATAAGTGAACCAAAGGCAGGGATGGATGATACCTTTGTTATTACATCACTAAAAATTATAAACAGAAGCTAGCTTTTGATCCAGACAGGTCTTCTTCAGGCTGGGCACCACCGAGCAGCAAAAACAAAAGCTCCAAAAGCCATAGCCATGTATGGGACCAGGCTTCTCTGTTTAAAGCACGTTTCAAAATAGGGACTGTCGTATCAGGTCAGATATGTAAGGTTACAGCTTAGAGGGCAACATTCAGTGTAACTGCAAAGTTTGCATCTCATGAAAAAGAGTACACATCAATTTAAAAAAGAAGTCCATGCCTCCTACACAACCGATCCTGAAAATGTGGAGAGACGGTTGTGCAGGAGAATTGACATACTTTGGACAGCTGAATGTGTACCAGACCACAAGGCTTTCTGGCCTAAAGTTACAATAAGATTACACTAGAGGGAGCAATCCTCTTTGCAAAGCCCCAGTCATGCTATGATAACAAAGTGTAGGGCGATGTATATACTAAGCACTTTGGCTTAGGGAGAGTGACTTGGCCAAAACTATCCAATAAGCTAATGATGGTCAAGGAAGTCTCTGCACTGCACATACAACTCTATCCACTACACTCTACTGTCCCTGACTATGTTCCCACTTTCCTTTATGGTGAAATTGAGCAATCAATAATATTTGTGTCTAATTATGTCAGAAAGTTACTGTTAACATTGGTATTTCCTCCCCTTTCACAGAAAAAGGGATGTTTCCCACAAAATAAGAGTCTTTGGCACAAGACCTGAATCCCCACACCATACTATAACTCACTTTTTAAGCCACTTTAAGTATTTGCAGCTGAAAGAATTAGGTATTTAAGCTGTCTCCCCATGCTAAATTCCTCTATCGCAATTCTTCTGCTTTTTTGGGTCGATATTTAAATTTTAAGCTTGCCTTTTTGTCCTCTGTAAATCACTATGCACTCTAATGGCACTATATAAATCAAAAATAATACCCTAGCAGTGCTATTGTTGTTCCCATCATGACCCTGTTGATGTGAATCCAGTTCACATACTGCTCTTTTAAACTTCAGAAATTTTACAGACTTTGTACTTTAAGTACTGTGTAGGAGTAGTACTGATTTCGCAGGAATGGAGCAATGTGTAAAATATTAATCTTATGCATCAAGTGAATATAAAAATGCAGATCCATGGTACTGCAGGGGTGGTGTTGATGCAGACAGACTGAAATTAGTTTGAACTTAAAGGGCTGGGCAGAACTTGAAAGAAACCTGTGGCACAACATAGAAGGAGCCATCAGAAAATGAAGAGGTGTGATACACGTGGGAAAGGTCTGGAGGGCTCACTGTCAGGAATCTTAGTCCCAGATGGCTTGAGGTGCAGTTTATTATTCCCAGGAAATGAAATTGATTTAGTGGTGTGTTTTTTTCATACTGTAAGCCGGATTCCTCACCTGTACACTCACAAAGATATAGTTGTGCAGGTAAAAAGAAATGTATGTGCCAGATATTACTACAAGCCATACAGAGCTAGGACCATGTAATTAATATTTTTAAGTGAGGAGTCAGAGAGAAAGTTACACAAAGCAGATGAGTAGACAGGAAAAATGAAAAGAGCAAAAGAAAGGACTCACCACATCACTATGTGTTGTGTAGAGATTATCTGCCAGGCTTTCCAGGGCAAGCCACTTCACTGGCAGCTTAGAAGCACAGCCCTGGCGGTAATAGTCTCCACTATATATTTTCTTTGAAAGTCCAAAATCAGCAACACAAACATTCATGTTTTCATCCAACCTAAGGAAAACAAAAATGTGACTGATAAAGAACTGAAACAATGTGGCTTATCCAAGTGATAACAGGAAGAAACAGAAGCCGTAGGTTTCTTCATTCAATCTCTGCCTGGTCCTTTGTGTCAAGCCATAGTCTGATGTCAACATCAGCTGCAATTCACAAGAGCAATTATGATTCAGTCTACTGGGAAGCCAAAGTCATCAGGACCCTAGTGCACCACAGGCAACACATGGCCCACAAAAGTCGAACTTCTGCTAATTTGCAGAATTGAAAAATTTGGGTCAAGATAGAACTTTTGGAAAGGGTGAAGCCCACAATGAGTCCTTGGGGAACAATACTGACCCCATCCCCCCAGAACTTGCCAGCCCCTGATATAATGGTTGCTTTATAGCTGACATGAGTTTGGTATGACCTGAGGAAGGGCAGAATATTGATTCCAAACTGAATAAGGGATTCATCTCACTTAGCATCCTCCAATAATTCGTGTACAGATAGGACAACGAAGAGAGCTCCTGTTATCAAACACTCAGACCATCTGTACCCTGAGAACATTCTGCTACTCTGAGTTTTGTCTTCTAGATCTTTTAAAGCACAGTTGTTAACACTGTAAACTGCTTTGACTGCACTGGTAGAAAAACCATTTACAGTACGGTATAAATGCAACTCAGCAACTAAAACCAGTAATTCTTCCCTGGAAAGCAAAGACTAGAACTGTCCACATGGTGGTGACATACCTGATAATATTCTTTCCCTCTGTATATGTATATAATTCTTGTTATATATAAACAACACTATCTACACTCAGTACTATGTTCCCTTGCCCCCATTACTCCTATAATATGCTATCTATGCAGGACCACAGGATCAGAGAGAGAGAGAGAGAGCTCTTGGCTGTACTAAAGGAGCTGTTAAAGACTGGATCAAAGCAGGCATATCTCTTAATTCTAAGAAAGCTGCGGAACTGAATTATAGCAATGTTGCGTTCCTGGATCTCCAAGCTAGAAAAAGAGCTAAAGTAAGTTATTGGTATCCCCTCCCGAGTCCCTAAATTTCCTAGCCAGCAAGGCTGATTACAAAAAAGCAAGCTCTAGCCCAAGGGCACAAGTGGATAGTACCACTAGGCTTGCTCCTTTTTCATCCTCCAGGAACTAAACTGGATGGCTTTAAAGAACAGTGGTGGTGCTGCTGCCACATGTCAGTTACAAAACAGCCTGTCTCCTTGTTCTTCTGACAAATAGGAAGACAAGAAAGGGTAGGGGGAATGAGTAATTCATTCCAGCAATACCAGTTTCACCAGTTGTTCACACGGAAAAGAGATGGTAGTGCCTAATGATTTTCTCCCCATAAAAGCACTAGAATCTGAGGTCTGGGTGAGCACTTTATGTGACCTCCTTTTATTTCTATGGACATCAAAGCAGATAATGTACCCTCTGCCCCTAGAATCGCTATTCTTGCCTTTCTTATTCCTGGGAAAAAGCAATTATATATAAGTTTTCAAAAATGAACAAAATCTACCTACCTACCTATCTACTTATAAAATGAAAACTTCATTATACGATATTAAATGCTTCTGAAATGCATTAAGCAGATTCTCAGAAATGAAAAAATTACACATATGATTAGAATAAGGGGAAATGCCTCAAATATCTGGGTGATAAGCTGCCACTAATGTAGAAAAAGACCATCATACCAAATAGAGCCAGACATCCTGGAGAGTGAAGTCAAGTGGGCCTTAGAAAGCATGGCTAACAACAAGGCCAGTAGAGGTGATGGCATTCCAGTTGAACTATTTAAAATCTCAAAAGATGATGCTGTTAAGGTGCTACATTCAATATGCCAGCAAATCTGGAAAACTCAGCAGTGGCCAGAGGATTGGAAAAGATCAGTCTACATCCCAATCTCAAAGAAGGACTGTGCCAAAGAATGCTCCAACTACCGTACAATTGCACTCATTTCACACACTAGCAAGGTTATACTCAAAATCCTACAAGCAATATGTGGACTGAAAACTCCCAGAAGTACAAGCTGGATTTCAAAGGGGCAGAAAAACTAGAGACCAAAGTGCTAACATGCGCTGGATTATGGAGAAAGCCAGAGAGTTCCAGATAAACATCTACTTCTGCTTCATTGACTACGCAAAAGCCTTTGACTGTGTGGACCACAGCAAACTATGGCAAGTCCTTCAAGAAATGGGAGTGCCTGATCACCTTATTTATTTCCTAAGAAACCTATACATGGGACAGGAAGTAACAGTTAGAACTGGATATGGAACAACTGATTGGTTCAAAACTGGGAAAGGAGTATGACAAGACTGTATAGTGTCTCCTTGCTTACTTAACTTATATGCAGAATACATCAGGCGAAAGACTGGACTGGAGGAATCCGAAGCCAGAATTAAGATTGCTGGAAGAAATATCAATAATTTCAGATATATAGACGATACCACTCTGATGGCAGGAGGAATTAAAGAACCTCGTAATGTGGGTGAAAGAGGAGAGTGCAAAAAATGGTCTTAAACTCAACATCAAAAAAACTAAGATCATGGCCATTGGTCCCATCACCTCCTGGGAAATGGAAGGGGAAGATAGGGAAACAGTGACTGATTTTACTTTCTTGGGCTCCATGATCATTGCAGATGGTGACAGCAGCCACGAAATTAAAAGACATCTGCTTCTTGGGAGGAAAGTGATGACAAACCTAGACGACATCTTAAAAAGCAGAGACATCACCTTGCTGACAAAGCTCCGCATAGTCAAAGCTATGATTTTTCCAGTAGCTATGTATGGAAGTGAGAGCTGGATCATAAAGAAGGCTGACTGCCAAAGAATTGATGGTTTTGAATTGTGGTGCTGGAGAAGACTCTTGAGAATCCCCTGGACTGCAAGGAGATCAAACCTATCCGTTCTGAAGAAAGGAAATCAGCCCTGAGTGCTCACTGGCCATCTAATGAGAAGAGAAGACTCCCTGGAAAAGACCCTGATGTTAGGAAAGTGTGAAGGCAGGAGGAGAAGGGGACGACAGAGGACAAGATGGTTGGACACTGTCATCGAAGCTACCAACATGAATTTGACCAAAATCTGGAAGGCAGTGGAAGACAGGAGGGCCTGGCGTGCTCTGGTTCATGGGGTCACAAAGAGTCAGACACAACAACTAAACAACAACAACCAAAGAGATAAACGGGGGAAAAAATTTAAGCTTCTCAGCGTACCCTACGGTTGCTAACTTGCCAAAGGTTCTTCAAGGTAGTGTAGAAAAACAGGTTTTAAAAAAGCATACTCCATTTCTGTAGCAATTAATGGCTTAGGAGACTGAAGAGCGCCAGCCATGTATTTTACAGTATTTCATACTGACTTCTATCAACTCCAAGGCTCTGCCCTCAGCTATTATCTGATTTAGTTTACAACTTTGTTACAAACTTTGCCCCTCAGTGTCCAAGTTCCTTTGTTGCTAAGAGCCTCCCAGGGAGCTGGAAGAGTGTAACGTTAATGCCATGGAGCAAAGCTGAATAGGTGTCCATGACACCAGTGCAACCATCTGCACAGCACTCAGAAAACAGCAGTTATATATTTGTGGCCAACTTTCCATCAATTAAAAAAATGATCTGAGTCCTGGAAACAAATAGGTTTTCTTCTGCATTAGCAAATTGGAATGTTAGAAATATGCAGTTCTCCTGCAATGAGCACACCATCAAAGGAAAGAGATCTGCAAGAATTTAGCTAGCACTGCATTAATTTATTATCTGCAAAAAACCTACAAAATTCTGTTACATGGGTTCTCTTCTGAAGGTAGCCAACTGCAGTCCACCCCCAGTCTTCCTCTACCAATCTCCACTATTTTCTTAACTGTTGTGAAGGCCTGAGTTAGCAAACATTGCCACTATGGACTCACATGCAGTTCCGAGCAGCAAGGTCCCTGTGTATGAAGTTTTTGGAGCTCAAGTACTCCATCCCACTGGCAATATCAATCATAAACTTCAAGAGTGTCTGGAGCGGCAGGTTCTGCCAAAACAAGAAGTACAAGGAAAGGTCAGTTATGGAAAAGGAACAAATGATTCATCATGCCCTCCCTGTTCAGGCATTTAGCACAATTAGCAGAGTCACTCTAAGTGACTGTAATCTTCTATCTTTTATGAAATCCTAGTGGCTAATTCCACTGCAGCAATAATAGCACTGTTATTTCATCAATATGTCAAAACAAAACAAAGCATTATCACACACAAAACATGGTATGGGAACGGCTGGTCCTGCTCACTGGCATTTTTATGGACCAATGTTCGTGAGCACTACTACACAACATCAATTCCCTGCACACAGAAAATAGTACTTGGGGGAAACATTAAAACATACTGTTCTATCTAACTACCGTATGGAATTGTGTAATACAGCAAAAGCTGCATCATGTAATTTTCTGGCTGTGTAACTTGGTTCTAGGAATGAGAGGCAGTTAGAACCCATGTAATTTATTGACTTTACTTCACTATTTGATTTGCCAATTAACTAACAGAATGTTCATGTAACTGTGCACTCTCAGTTAGCCCTGAGATCTGACTATAGTATGGATTCAATGTTTAAGTGCTTAAAGGCAGCCAGAACTTGCAATTTTTTCTCATTTACCAGTAATGAGTAGGACTGCTGAACCCAACAAAGGACAAAATAGGTTTGTACCCCATGCCCAGTATGAGGCATGTAAATGTTTGTTCACTGAATGCAATTTAAGCTCAAAATGTTTTCTGCAAATATATTCTTCTGTAAAAAGGTGTAACAAAAGGACTATTACAAAGGGGGTTTCTCCAATCCTGGACATCAGTAGAAAGGAGTGAAGGTCTCCATGTTTCATGAAGGGAAGGATGACCATGGGGATTGGAAGCCGACCTTTAGGTCGATTACGCAAGCTGACTCCTGGTAGGGCACAGCAGAAAAGAAAAGAGTGGTTAGGAAGAGATATATATTTGTTCTTATTTATTTCATTAGAATGTGTGGGCCTCAGGAAGGGGGGGTAACATCAGAGTGCTTTGGACTGCACAGAACCCAGAAATGGTCAGTTATCACCAGATAAGAAAAATTAAACAGGCAGGGCTCAGATAGAAATTAGTGTCTCTGTCCGCACACATACGGAGGGAGAGACATTAATGGACTCCCTTTCCCAAGGCCCCTGATGTGAAAGCTGTTGTTCCTGGAGACCTCCAGGAGCAGGATTTAACCAACTTTTTCAGGGGTTGTTGTGGGTTTTTGGGGCTCTTTGGCCGTGTTCTGAAGGTTGTTCTTCCTAACGTTTCGCCAGTCTCTGTGGC